GCAGGGCAGATAGAGCAGGAAACTTCCCTGTGTTGCTGGTATCTGCAGAGACCACCGTCACCAGCACCTACAACCCTGCACAGCAGAGCAACCTGTCTACACATCTCGTGGCACCCACTACCTTTGTCCCTGGCAGGTGGGTCACCTGCACTCCTCCTTGATGTTACGAAGACAGATCTCTGTGTGCCTAATGATCACTTGCCCACCACCACCGCCTGCTTCTTCATAGCCTGTGGGGTCCCTTTCCTGGAAGGAATATCCTCAGTGCAAGAGGATGTTGTGATAGTGTCACCTTGCCTTCAGGACAGGGAGAAACTGGCTGTTTTCCCAAATGGAGAGCAAGCAAGCAGGCTCAATAGTGCCTTCAAAATATGCTTTCATCTTTCTCCAAATGAGAATCCTTTTTAATGTTTCTCCAAACAAGAATCTTTTTACTTTCTCCTTTAATTCCTTAATAAATCAGTTTATTGAGCATTACAGAATATCAACTACTGATGTTCATAAAGATATCATTTTTAGCTAGCAAGCAATTTGCTTATATGGGTATATTACCAGTCCTCTGTCAAAGAGCAGGCTGCCTCCTTGAAGGGAGATCAGATGTTTTCAGTCTTCGGACAGCATCAGGACCAGGGAGAGAAGACGATTATTTTTTCTTAAGTTGGTGATATTTATAGTCCTTTAGTCACATAGCCACCAATTGGGTAAATTTTTGCTTTTCATCAACAGGTTTCTAGTTTTTATAAACATACTGTTTTCAGTCTCACCCGTATGTATCTACCCTCACCGCCTTGTACCGGGCACCGTCCTGCTTCCGATAGGGGTGGAAAGTGCACCAGTAAGACGTTTTCTCAGACTCTTTGCAAAAAAACAAGTTACATAAAAATAACATCGCTTGTACGCGGGCATGTGAACACTGTAGGTGCACTCATGACAAAACCAGGCTTGGCAGGGCCAAATGGACCGTTTTCGATCTTGTCAAGCATCAAAGGCTAAACTGTCTCCATAATATCAGCGGGAGGGTCAGTGCCACCTACGGGAGCGTCTCCCTTCTTCCCTGAGACCCTCAGCCTTCTTAGTGAGACACGGGGGTGCTCTCATGGAGGTGGGACTGCTTGACCTTAAATGCTGGAGGCTGCAAGTGTAAGAGGAACGGGCAAAAAACTGGTCAGACCCATTCACTCTCCCCTCCATTATGTCCTCTCTGCTGCTGCATGACACAAAAGACTGGGCAAGATGGACCTATGGTCTCACCCAGCCAATGGCAATTCTTATGTTCTTATGAAAGCACCGTCTGTGAACCTCTCTGTCTCCCTTAGCTGCTCCGGTTCAGCCACCTGAGTCTTGAGAGAACAGACTTATTCTCTCCAAGGATGCTGTGTGCTTTTACCAGCCACATGCATACGAAAAATGCCCCCGGGGCAGGTAATCAGACATGCCGCACTCAGTGCAATAGACTGGATAATCCCCACCCAGCTGCTGGACTTTGACAGCATTTTTTTAAGGCTTACAACTGGGTTTGGGACCTTAAGGAAAGTTTTATTTCAGTTTGCACCTTTAGATTAGGAAAGCTGCATTTATAGATGGACTTCCTCTCACTCGGTTTAGGAAAAATATATAATATAAGGGGTCATGAATTTAAAAGCCAAAGTCTAAAGTCTAATGTTTCAGTTGAGAGTGACTTTAATCCGGTGTCTAATGTGGCTAGTGTTATAGTTATGGATGGATGGATGGATGTTTGGCTGGCTGGCTGGCTGGATGTTTGGATGCATGGATGGATGGATAGGTGGATGGATGGGTGGATGGAGTTTGGATGGATGGATGCATAGATGGGTGGATATTTGGGTGGGTGGGTGGATGGATGTTTGGATGCATGGATGGATGGATGTTGGGATGGATGCATGGATGACTTATAAATCCCCTTGAACCCTCCCCTGGTTGCTGCGGGGGGATTTGATAGCAGCTTTTAACTCCCTGCAGGGAGGTTGCAAAGAGGACAGAGCTGGACTGGTCTCAGTGGGGGCAGATGACAGCACAAGGAGCGATGGGCTCAGGCTGCAGCAAGGAAAGTTGAGGCTGGATATTAGGAAAAACTTTCTCACAAGGAGTATAGTAAAAAACTGGGACAGGTTACCGAGAGAGGTGGTGGACTCTCCATCCTTGGAGGTTTTTAAGACCTAGCTAATCAAAGCCTTGGCTGGGATGATGTAGCTGGGGCTGGTCCTGCTTTGAGCAGGGGGTTGGACTAGATGTGACCTCCTGAGCTACCTTCAACCCTCCTTGTCTGTGATTCTATGACTCTAAGATTTATTATTGTTATTATTGTTATTGTTATTATAATTATTATTACTATTATTATTTCCATTTATAGGGACA